TTCATATTCTGAAGAAAAATTTTTTTCTGAAAACTTAAATGTTTAAATATCAGATTTCGAACTAATAAAATAGTAATAACTTTAACAACCTACTTTAACTAGGTATACTAATTTAGCTATACTATATTTATGTGAGTACCAAAATTCTGAGAAAAATATTCTGCTTTTAAATATGAAATAAAAAATGTATATTTATTAAAGAAGTAAAAATTTATAAATTATTATGTAAAAATAATAAATGTATGTATTTTTTTCAAAAACATTGTTTTATAATGACTACAGTTTAATACCTATTATGGGTAAATTTATTAACAATTCTATTTTAAAACGGTACATTACAGTAGGTATCTCAAAAATGAAAAATATATTAATGTATTAAAAATTACCTGTTCAACACACTACGACTTAGATAATATATTAATAAACATATACATATAACAGTATAAGTCATATAATCCTATAAATGTATAACTAATAAATTGCTATACTCAATCTAATGTAACATATATTTCTGTTTCCGGTACAAACACACACGTTTCACATATTCTGATATTCATATTATTATCATATAATGTAGACGGAGAAGATATTGTACGAGTGGCTCGAGGATGCGTTTATAACAAAGCAGACTTGTGCAGGGGAATGCAAAGACTTGACGACGAGCTGAAAACACTCAAATACTGTGGTTCGTGCGACGACGACGGATGTAACGGTTCTATGTCGTTAAAGTCTTCCGCGGTCGCTATAATTCTGACCACGGTGGCCACGTGTCTGTTTTACCAGTTACAGCACTAATACTGTAATAGAAACCCAAACGCAATACTGTTTTCACAAAGTTGAAAAGTGTACCTGAAACTATGTTCTGTAATTGTTCCGAACTTATTATAAATTTATTATAATACATGCGCATATATACTTGTTTAAATGTTTTCTCTACTTTTTACGCGTTGTATTAGTGTTCTTAAGAATATGTTTACATATATTATTTCAACGTAACACAATATATTATTATAGTTATTGAGTGTTTTTGTATTTTACGTAAAATGTAGGTAAATTATTTATGTTGGTACAAGATTTCATTTTCTTCAATTGTTTATACACTTAATAATATATTAAATTATAAATAGTTTTATAAGTTTAAGTAGCATAACATTGTATACCTTCTTGTTAGATTTGCTTAATATGTGTGTAAGTGGTGTATACTGACGATATTACGTTTATATAAATCTACTATATCTACCTATTGCACGAACTTAATTGTTTAATCTGTTTATAATTGTTATTCAAATAAAAAGTGATTAATAAAAATATTAAGTATTATGGCGAGTGTTTATATTTAAAATTCATTATAATTATATTTAAAAATTGATGATATATTATATAAAACTTTAAAAAAAAATGTCATATTCCTGAGAAATCTTAAGACTTAAGAGGTGACCATTATTTACACCATTCCACAACGGTTAGACGATTATAAATTTCACTGATTATACCTTTTCTACATCTACACAAACAAGTACSATTTGTATACCTTCCTAACTAAAAAATCATTTTTAATATGTTCAAATATACGTTAACTACATCAAAATTGTTTTTTCAGGAATTCAATTTAAAATTTAAATTTTAGGTTAAAATTAAACACATTTTTCAATTCGATTTAATGTCATTAATTAATTTTCTGGTTAATGCATCGGGACGCCTCGCCTGGAGGAAGTAAATTTCAGTTGTCCGTCATAATTTATTGCATATTCTTTGATTATCATGTAATTATTTGCAATTATTTTTCAAGTTTTTATCAATCATCAAATTAAAGTTGWATTTTTTTAAATCGTTTACATAAATATTACAATAACATAAGTTCCATATTTAAATAGTTTATATAATATTACATTTTTGTACTGCATATTTTGAGTGCATATTATTTGTTCTTTAAATTAATCTATATTAAGTGCATGCATACTTTGAAGTTTTTGATTTACCTATAAAAGTCTTCAGTCCTAGTTATGATATATATGTTAGCCTATACCTAAAATAATTTACCTATAAAATTGTTGAACTTATATTTGTATCTGGTTAGTCTATTGCAGCGTTTCTTATGGGGCCTACACACGATCAGTTTAACTGTGCAGTTTGTCATGTATGACGATATGTCTGAGCGATAAACTGAGAAAACTGTGCAGTTCTGGCGGATTTTTATGCAGGCTTTTGGCCTGCACGAGATAGTCTACTTTGCACCGATTAACGGCGCAGCTAAGGCCCACACACGATCAGTTTAATTGTGCAGTTTATCTATGAAATTAACTAAGTAAAAATTGTACCTTTATCTGAAGGTATGTAGGATACATTAAAGTGTGTTCCGCGAAGCTTAAGTAATCTTTTAAAAGTGTTTAAGAAAATTACTTAAAAATATCCATTATGGAAAATAATACTTGTATATTAAATAATAATGCATAAGTCATGAAGTCATCTGTAATAATCCATTAGCTAACTCTATATTTAATTATCTATATTTCTACTTAATATTATAATTAATATGCAAATAATCCTAAAAAACGATAAGAAGCTAAACAAAAGTAGAGGTCCCACGATAAAAGTGGACACCAGAAAGGGTTTCACGGATAAAAAAGCTTAAGAAACGCTGTTCTACTGTATTAAAATGCATTTAGGATTTAGGAATAAAACATGATAAAGTATAAAATAGCCATTATCCAATAGATTTGTGAAATAGTTTCATCAAATCATTGCCAATAWAATATTGGTTAGGACAATAAAACTTTACCTTTTAAAAATGTAAAAGTCTTGAGCTAATCAGGATTGAACGATAATTTGAAAATATATAATTTGAAAATTGTATTTATTTTAATTTAATTTTTAATCTAATGTATATTCGGATGAGGAATTACTGTACCTAAATTTCACTAATTTGTATAATATTTCATTTAAAATGTTAACAATTTATAATGTTTGTGTTAATTTTCATTCAGATTGTTCTGTTTACCTGTATATGGTTATAAACTCTTTGATCATAAAAAAAGAAATTTAATGAGAATGGAAAGCGAAGCGATTATTATTCAATTTTTTTTTTATCAATGAAACGTCCGCTGAAGTTGCAAAACTTACAAATATTGAATTAGGTACTTGTAGTTTAAACATTAGTGTGTAAAAATAAAATTCATAATTTACTGTATCTTTGTTCGCACTGTTTTTATAAATTATATTACATTTACTGAAATGAAAACAGATTTATAAATTTCCAAAATAATTTGGTAACGTTTTACTTTACCATATAGCTGTGACCCAGTATGTATTTATTGTATAAAACCTCAAACAGTAAAACGTATTGTAGATATTCCTATTTCATTATTACAAATGAATTATTCTGAGGCTATTTATTGCATCAAAAATATGTCGTGTTTTATGCCTACTATGATTAATCAAATCTGTAGGCGAATGGAGACATCAAGAAAAAACTTTTCGTTTTCATCGCTAGATAGCACTATTGTTTACGATTTTTAGTTAGTACATTATAATACAGTGAAACCTCTGTTAATGAACACCTCTCAATAATAGTGGACCCTTCCCAATAGTGGACACTTTAAAATTCCCTGGAAAAAACGTATGCATATAATAGGAGTAATAACCTCTTAATAGTAGACGTGTACACTAAAAACTGGTACCAAAATTAAGTACTACYTGCCACAAATGGACGAAATACATCTACATTATACATATCATTGCAAAGATCAGAAATGTACACAAAAAATGATACCAAATATTTTCAATTGTACATAAACATTACCAATACATTTTTATACCCATCTTTAAATACATACATATTGAGTATACAATAAATAATAAATAAATATAATAATATGTACCAAATTCAATGTAAGTAGATATATGTAAATGCATAACCAATTCTTTATAATATCATCTTTTTATAGTGGACATTTTTGAATTTCGCATGGCTGTCCACCGAGGCCTCACTGTATTGAAATTCCGAGTTTTCATATTTTTTATCTTGTTATCTAATCAATCACTATTTGTGGTAGGGCGAAGTCGTCCGAATGTTTCGAAAGTTTTTATAGAATAGTATTATCAAGAATAACTAACTGTCGATGCCGTTTTTTAAATAACACCCCCCCTCACACGGTGTAGATTGTTTTTAAGAGGGTCCGGATATTTGGGACTTTGGCTCGGGTTTCATCCTCCATGACCGTGCTCTAATAATATGAAACTAACAAAATATGCTACAATACTTTAAAATCAAACCCAAACTTAAAATATTAAGTTATTTAAATTCTGAGCGGAGCCCAGAACATATTAGTTTTAACTTTTATAATGATATGTGTTTATTATTTTTATTTTTAGTCTAACGTCACCTTTTGAGCAATAAAAATACTTCGTTCCTCAACTTTTGTGGTGGCTCTTTGTCAGAAATCGGATCTTTTTGGTATTTTACTATTTTGAGAGCTTTAAAGGTATTTCCAGTACTTTTCGAAAATTGGGAAAAACTAGTTAGGAAAAACGGGAATATTTACACGGTACAGGCTTTCGATCAAATCGATTTTGTTCTGACTTCTTTTGTAAATAAAAAATGAATAGTTGTAGCTTACTTGATATTTTTATACATATTATATTTTCAAGTATTTTTAAAATACTTTAAGTTATAACATGAAATCCTCTACTCCGTTCTACACTATACGTCGGTATTTACTTATAATTTATTAATAGTTGGTTACTTACGCGTTATCTATATAAAATAATATTATAATAAATATAAAGTACTTTATCATATTAACTTTATTTTACAATACAATTCAAATATTAACTGTAGGCACATGTCTTTTCAGTGGGTAGATACTAATAAAATACTATCTAATGATATGTATATTGTATATTTGTATTTTGTGGGCAAAGTATAAATTCCGGAATAGTTGTGTGAGACAATACCAAAATTTAGTATAGCTACAAACTATACAATCAAATAAATGTATGAAAATGTATTTTCTCGTTGAATAGTGCACTACATGATTACATTTCAAAGGGCAAAGTAGAAGTTGATTACAACCATTGAGTGGGTAAGATATTCTAGTATACTGCTATCTATATCATRTTATTCCATTACATCTATATGTAATAAGTAGTGAGAACACTAAGAAAATAATATGATATAGATGCTCGCCTTAATTTTTTTATAAAATTCGAAAGAATATATCAGAATAAACTAAAATAAAATTGCGGTTTGCAGTACAAAAATGAAAAAGCAAAATAACATACTTTTGTGATTTTTCAAATTTTCGATTTTTTTTTTTTATTACTTAATCATCAAATACTTTCAAAATTAAAAACAAAAAAAAAGGTTCTTGAAATATCTTATTCTGTTACCTAGGTACTTACAAAATAAAATAATAATTTGATTTACTAAAGTCGCACCTACCTAAATAATTCCTTTGATTAAACTTATTCTTTTGGATTACAATTTAAACAATTTTTTTTTCTAATTTTTAATCCAAAATGTTATATTTGTTTAAAATTATAATATTTAATAACTTGTATAAGAACAAATGAAAATATGAAATTCGAGATAAATATTTTAATTGTGATTAAATATGAATAGTTACTTAATTACTTTTAAATATTTGATTACAATGATTAATATTTTTAAAACATAGCCTTGTGAAAAATGTACTGTGTGTCACTCCAGAAACACATTTTTTACTTTTGATGATTTTTCAATTACTTACATTTTTTTTATATAACCAGACCGGTAAAATCATGATAATAAAACATATTAACAAATTAGGTTATTTCTAAAGTTATAGCTATGGTTATTAGTCATAACTAAGTTTTATTTTTATACTTACAATTATTGTGAAATAGATAAGACTAGCTATTTAAAATTATTTTTTCTTATTGTTAGCTCATGTGGTGTGTAGTTTTTAATAATTTATTTATTATCTTCGTTATTGCTGCAGTTAAATTCAGACCGAACACGTGATACTGTGGTCAATAGCGGAAGGACAATGCATAAATTAATGTGACTGTGGTCAAGGACTTAAAAACCATGTCTGCGTAACATCTGAAAACTAAATAAAAAAAATATACTGCAGAAAAATCACATTATTTTCAGAAACAATGTAGTTTTTTTGTGATTTTTTAATAAATTGTCCTATTTACTAATAGATTTATATAAATATAGTTGTAATATAGGTAGGTATATAATCATTTGGTGGTAAACTTGGAGTCATCTTAAATTTGTGGAAATTTATAGATTCATACACAATTTTTTAGAGCACATTTAAATAATGTATTGTAGCAATAATATTTTTGTTAGTCAAATTTTGCCAGTTATTCAGAAGTTTTAGTTTGTTCTCAAAAAAATGTCCGTTATTTTGAGGTGTCCGATAGGGGATGTTTCACTGTATATATAATATACAGATTAGATATACCTACCTATGTAAATAATTTTACATTTCATACTAAACAAGAAACATGTACCTACCTACAGGCTATAGTACATGGTTTTGTAATGGCTAGTAATTTTATTATTTTTAAATTTTTTAGATTGCGTATTTTTAGAGTTACCAAAGGATTACAATGCAAAGAGTACTAAAAATATTCAATAAGGATGTACTATGGTATATAAATATGCAATTTGATAAAGTTGGTACTTTTTTATTTTATTGTTATTTTTCATTGTACTGTTKAGCTAAGAAAAATAATGCTTTTTAAAAATACAATCTAATTTCGGTACATAACTGTTATAAGTTAGGAATTCAAAACACGTCAAATTTTTTAAATAACGATTTCATTAGTAYAAAATAGCTTTACCATTTTGTCAGTTATTTGTAAACCGTGTTTATTATTTAAAACAAACTATAGATCTTTTAGAATATTTATTTATAATTCTTTAGTAATTATGCAAATATAAAAAATCCCCCTGAAAAAAAGAAATACACGTTTTAATAACCATTATATAGGTATTCTAAAATCATTAACTAAGATGCAAGCACAACAAAGACCAAACGATYTTTTTTCTTGAAAAAATCACAATTCACGTCCGGTGTTCGGAAAACTAGGCTTCAGGAGATGTGTGAAATAAAATAAAAAATAAAATATCTGTCACGGATCACCAGTCACATCCTAGTCATCACGTCCGACAACCAAACAGGACAAGGAGAAGAAAAAGCAATCGAAACAATGAACTAATCAAGGATCTATACCAGAATGTCTCTTTTCGGCTTATTTTGTTGAAGATTTTTAAATAACAATAATGCTTTTTCACCTATATATAACAAGTRTAGGTTCACTAATCACTATCCTGTATTCAGTTATGGTCATATGGTATGCCGTATGCGTATAAAAATCATTAGATTTATATATAAGTAGTACATATTTACGAACGTTTGGAAATGATCCAACGGACAATATTGAAATTTGAAGTGAACCCACTTGACGTGTTCAGTTTTCAATACTGATATCGTTTTAAGCTTTTTTTAAATAAGTGAATATTTTAAACCCACGAAAGTATATTATTATATACGTGTGTACTGTATCTATAATACGTATACATAAATAAATGACAATTTAAAAATTATAATTTGTTTATAAACTATATTTCTTAGATGATGCTATTATACACTGCAGCCACACAAGAAAACAACACCGATTAACAATAAATTAATACATACATCAGACTATTTTAATCTTACATTTTGAAATCCTAATTTTCATGAAAACATTTCATTAATTTTTTATTATACACGATGATCAGACCAGATTTCGTCGACCAAATTTTTTAAGTTTAACGTTTACCTACAGACTAAAATTCCGTCCGTTTCTTCACTTATAAATGCAATTAATGATCATTCGTCGATGATTTTGGATTTCTGACTATATTCCGGTACACTAACCAGTAGTCGTGAACAACGGTGTAAACATTTGTTTTCTTCGATGATGTAAACACCCGTTAATTTGCATGTTTTGTTCACTCGTATAGATGAATACCCACTAAATAATATATATATATATATATATATATACACTCTGACTCTCTCGACATAATTAAAAGTATGCTAATAGAAATTAAATGGGTTTTATACTTTTATCATTCAAAAGACGCACCTCTGGGATCCGGTAGCTTATTCACGATTGGGTTCAATTGGGCAGGGTCAATAGCTATTAAGGTTATGTATATATAATATCTATCTGTACACATATATACACCTATAATAGCCCGTATTCCCCTTATAACACTATCGTATATTCGTATGTATTTTCTGCGTGYTGACGACAAGTGTTACTCACACGAATTATTAATTTATACTTACAGTAATATAATATTGTTATTATTACGGTGTAAATCCAAACTATCGCTAGCCGGCGATAATCACCGTTTATGTGAAGTTGATGGAACTCTCTATTAACCCCCCCCCCTTCCCGTATACCAACATTTCCAGCCATATATAGGGGTAGCCGTAGCCAGCCGTGTACTATATTATGTCTGCGTTTGTATCACGAATTACGATATAAGCAACGTGTACATATTYTATCGCGACTCTATCCAGTCGTATCATTCGTTTCTACAACGTCTTTCTATATTGATGTAACGGACGAAGAGAAAATATAAATTTTATAATTACTGCTCTCATATTATTATTATATAGGTTAAAAACAATTACCAAAGTCCGTTATTTTATACTAAAATAAATGTAAAATTTCACATCATAGTGCAGACCATTAAACAATACATTTTTAACGTTTTGAATCAATGGATTATTTTAAAAAATAGCTCAAGTATAGTACATACTACATACCTAATGCCTATATATTATTACGTACTGTAAAAACGAAACGTTTGTAAAWTTTTTTCTTGTTTAGAAAATCGCATATGAATGCATTGCATGTAAATCTGTGGCTCCGCGAGATAGTCTGACTACAGTGTTTTTGTAGAACGAATTATTGACTTTTTCTGTCTGAATGTAAAGGTACTTGTAGGTACTTACCTCATTTTTGATAAGTTACAGTTTTTTTTTTAAATTTTATAGATATTAAATTATATTTTCTCTATGGATTTATTTTCATATCGTGTTATCGTTATGTGTAGGTACTTCGACCAGAGCTTGCGTATCGTAAGTACATTTTAAATATCGATTTTTTTTTTAAAAATTCCTAAATAATTCATATTATTTCCATGACCATGAGAAAATTCGATGGTTATAGACATATGAATTCGGCACGTCACTTTACGTGGTTTAGGTATAGTTTATAGTCGCCTTCTGTGCACTACTCATCGTTAAACAGGTATATTGGTATATAATATATATACTATATATACTGCAAGCAAAACTGTAGACATAACAAACAAATATAGCTTATATAGGTACGAGTATATATGTATACCTATTACCTACTGCATGTATATATGTTATATATAAGTACAGACCGACGACATCGTTAGATAGTTAAGACTACAGCAGTGAGTATCACGTGGACCACGGCAGTGCGGTACAGGCACTTAGATCTAAGACGTGATCAAAGAGATCGGTGTCGTTCCATACAATAAACAATAATTGTATATAGGATGCACGCATGTGTTGAATATAACGGGCTTTACTGGAACTGCACTTACAAGTTACAGTGCAGCGAAAAAACGCAATTGAGTCATAATACACGTATATATATATACTGTATATAGCCATGTAGTATACCTATATCGTGTACATATATACATAGTGTGAATGTGTAATGCATAATACGGTACGTACAATATTATTAATTCGTGAAAACGATGACAAAGGGGGGCGTCGAGCAACAACACTGAAATAGTGGTGGTGGTAGGGGAGCAAGAGAACTTTCCACCGAACGCTCCTGATGGTCGGTATAGTCGTTTGCGRTCCCGTCCGGTGAACAGTCTTGCACAGTGCTCCGAAGTGTTGGTTTATTCTCAACATTAATTGTCCAACGATTCTGAAATAGAACACAACGGTTTTTTTTCTTCAGGAGTATTATAATAAATCACCTAGTTTAGTAATTTTTATTTTCAAAAATCCACGATCATATACAATAATGATCCGTTGTCAATTGTACGCCGTAGTTGTCTTCGCATTCGGGTGTCTGGTCTTGTTACCTRACCACAGTAAGTCGCTCGTTTGATCACGATAAACCATCTGTCGTCCGGCTGCAGTCGGCTTAATTAYCTATAAAAATATTTATGATTTTGACCGTGCTGTACACAGGCAAAGCAATCAACTGTTGGGTGTGCTCCACGGACACGGACCAACGTTGCAACGACCCGATGAACATGACCAAAGGTGCAATCGAGGACTGTAGCAGAGCACCGCATTCGGCTTTCTTACAGCCTGTGTGCAAGAAACAAAAACAAAGAGGTACGCGTCCACATACGATAATGTCAAACTTCTATAGTTCTATGGGATTTGTATAGATGTAAACGTACATCATATAGATCATCCATTCGTGTTTTCATAAAAATATGGGCAATAATTAGACTATAAAATCAGGTCATCCCAACAATAATGAATAAATGTCTCATGCTTAGACGTAATTCAATCCAATTCGATTTCACTAACTCGCTGCATGGCACTGTTGTTTGGTCCTTCGCAGACGTTCCACATAATGTTTAGAATAATAATAATTTAAATAACCGATTTCAACTGATAAGTATATTATATGTAATAATTGTCTGTATACAATTTTCTTTATAGTATATTATATTATACAGCTTTCAATTTTGTACGACATTAATATCTCGATATTTCCAATAGTTTGTATACCTACTATATATTGCATGATATACATTGTATCCTGTATTATTTCATTAATTTTTTTTAGAACAAACTTTTCAATGGTATGATTTTATGGTTTTTATAAAATATGCATGTATCTATGTAAGCCATTCAAAATTAAGAGTAAATACTAAATAATGTTTTCAAAAAAAAAAAAA